GGGGGGGGGGGGGGGGGGGGGGGCAGAGGCAAAAAAAGCCTGAGGACTGGTGAGACCTCGGCACTGGCGCGGACCCACGGACCCCGCGGCCCCTCCCCCGCGGGGGCGCTCACTTGCCCCCGACGCGGACCATGTCCAAGCGGTTCTCACGGGCGTGGCGCGATAGGCGCCGGGCCGCGCAACGAGCCTCCGGCCGTGCGATCCGTCCCGACCCACATGCGCTGGTTCCCCGTTAGGAGAGAAGAGCGGGCGGGGGGTTGTGGGAGGACGCGCGGCGAGAGGGGCTGTCAGCGTGGGCAGGCGAGGCCGCATGTCTGCGCCCACGCGCGAGCGTGCCCTGCCCCTCCGGGCGGACTTCTGCGAACCGAGCCCCTTTCAGCCCCGGGTGCCCTGAGCCCGGGGGACAGAAGGGCTCTGGCCAGGGAGGCGGAGATGACTCATTCCCCGGCTAGCCCTGTGGGCGCCATGATGGGCGCCGGCATGCAACAGGCAGCGAGAGAGAGAGAGAGAGGCAGCGCATGAGGCAGGGAGAAGCAAAGGGAGAGAGGGAGCGAGAGGCAGAAAGGGGCGCCCTGGGGCCCATGCGGCCTGGCCGGCAACCCGACGCGCGCGCATCCGGCGACGCTCACATGCGCCAGCTCCCGCCTGCCAAGGCCGACCCAGCGCCTCCGGCAGCGGCGGGCGGGGGAAACGGTCACGCCCGGCCGGGTCAAGCCACAGCGGCCCACGTAATGCCCGGGCCTGTCTGACCGGCCGCCACACGCACCAGAAAAGCCACGGCAGCCACTGCTGGCACACGGCTCTTCCGGGGGGGGGGGGGGGGAACCCGCCCCGCCACCCCCCGCCACTGGCCTCTGTTGCCCTGGGGCCCGAAAACCCGGCCCGTTCGCCATCCACCGCCGGCCAGTCACACGCCCCCGACCAGAAACCCCCAGGGTGGAGGAAGCAAGGGAGGGGGCACGCCGGCGAGCGCGGTGTGCAACTCCACCCGGCCGGAGTGGGCCGGTGGCGCGCCCTGTGCGTGGGCTGTATCATGTGTCCATTGTATTTCTTAAGAACGAGAGTTGCATCCGGAGTCTGATGTGTGATCTGCTGTTTCAGCGTGAGAGGTGCTTGCAGAAAGAGGCGGGTGTCGTGCTTGGAGCCGGCCCTCTCTCCGCAGTGTGGCGGACAGCCCCAGGGACGCCACTCGCCCGCTCGCCCGCCCGCCCACCCGCCCGCCCACACATGAGGCTGAGCACGCCCTGCTCCGGATGTGGATGGAGGCTATTTGATGTATTTTTCTCTCTCTCTCTCTCTCTCTGCACAAACGACGGTCATGTCTCGGGGGGAATATGGACGGATGCCGGGCACACACATGCACACACACGCACGCTCCAGGGGGGGATAGAGTACACACGCGCGCACGCACTCGCGCGGCCGCGCAGGCCCTCGAGCGGGGCACGAGGAGGAGGTGGTGGGACATATGAGCCGGGAGAGAGAGAGAGAGAGAGAGAGAGAGGGATAGAGAGACGGGGGAGGAAAGGAAATGATACAGACGAAGGGAAGGAGGGACGCGCAAGGGGGAGGAGACAGAAGATGGCCATGTGCAAGTGCACACGGATGTCGAGACACACGCACGCGCGCAACTGGCTGCGGCGGCGGTGGACCCTCTTCTCACGTCTCCCCCCTCACCTCCCGGCTACGGGGACAGATGGAGAGAGAGAGAGAGAGAGGGAGGAGCAAATGCACGCAAAGACACACATGGGGTGGAGATGTGCCTGGGCATGTGCAAAAAAATACACCCACAGCCCATGTGCGCGGCCGCCCTTCAGGGGCGGCTACAAGGAAGGGAGAAGGCAAAGAGAGAGAGGAGAAGAAAGGGAGAGAAGATGCCATAACAATTGGCCGATATCGGGGAGATGGGCAGGCGCGCGCGAGGGGAGGAGGGGGGATGATATGCCACGCCAGCCCCTCGGCAATGTGCCACCCGCTGTCGGGCCGATATTCGCACACACTTAGGACGAGACGGCGGCCGGGGTGGCGGCCGAGGGCTCGGCCGTGGTGCCAGGGCCGGGGCTGGCGGCGGCCGCGGCCGCCGCCGCCGCAGCGGGGGTCGGCAGGACGGCCTCCAGCGGGGCGGCCGCAGGGTCCGCCGCGGCCACCGGGAGCGCGGCCGCCGCCGCATCGAGGGCAGCCTTGGGGGGAGCGGCATCGGTCCCGGCGACCGGGGCAGCGGCCGACGCCGTGGCCGCCGACGCCGGCGAGTCCGAGGCGGTGGATGTCTCGGCCGAGGAGGGCGACGCGGTGGCAGGCACCGCCGCGTCCGCCGGCTTCAGAGGTGACCCGGTGGTGGTGGCTGCAGCAGCAGCAGGGGCACCGGCGACCGTCGGAGAGGGAGAACCGGCACCCTCGGCATCGGCCGCGACCGGGATGGTGGTGGTGGTGGCGGCGCCGGCCCCGGCAGGCAGCGGTTGCCCCCCGGCGGCAGTGGGGGTGGCGGCAGCAGCAGCACCAGCACCAGCAGTGGTGGCACCTCCGCCACCGGTGGTGGCCAACAGACCCATGGGGTTGTTGGCGGCAGCGGCCGCGGCGGCCGCGGCCGCGGCCGCGCCCAGGGCATTGGCCGCGCCCAGGGCGCCGAAGCCCAGCGGCGAGAGGGCCGACTCGGCCCCGAGGCCGGTGGCCTGGGGCATGGACAGCAGGCCGCTGGAGGCCAGGGCCGCCAGGGAGGCCGGATTCAGCGGAGGCACACCCCCCGGCGACAGGCCCAGGGCACTGGCCAAGGCGGCGGAGCTCTGCTGCTGCGACAGCATGAGGTCCTGCCAGCGCCGGGCATTCAGGTCACCCAGCAGGCTGGAGGAGGCGGCGGCCGCGGCCGCGGCGCCGGACAGGTCCGGCAGGGCGCCGGACACCGACAGAAGCCCACCACCGGGGGAGCCAGCCTTGGAGGGGTCGGTGCCGGCGGCGGCCGCCGCCGCCGCGGCAGCCGCAGCCGCAGCCGCAGCCGCCGAGGGAGAATTCCCCCCAGCCGGCAGAACACCCCCCAGGAGGCTCTGGCCGACGGAGCCGGGCAGAACCCCGGCGGCCGAGGCGGCCGCCGACAGGGGATTGGTCAGGAGCATCTCGGCCGCCAGGAGCAGCGTGTCGATGGAGCGATTGCAGCCGCCCTCGGCACCGTGCGTCGGGCACACGGACCCCGGCAGGACCGGCGGGCAGGACCCGGCCACGCCGCCGATGAGCCCGGAGTTGGTGGCCGCCTGGAGCGAGGAGTGCACCGCGGCCAGCTGCTGGAGCTGCTGCGGGGTCAGCTGGGACACCAGCTGCGAGGTGGACAGCGACAGGGGCTGGAGCTGGGCCTGCAGCTGGGCCTGGATCTGGGCCTGCAGCGGGGGCGGCAGGGACTGGGCCTGCTGCAGGAGGCGATGCTGCTGCTGCTGCTGCTGCTGCTGCTGGAGCTGCTGCTGGAGTTGCAGCTGCAGCAGGAGCTGATACTGCTGCTGGTGGAGCTGCGCGTGGGCGGCCGAGGGGTGGGCGGCGGCGGCCGCGGCGGCCGCAGCGGCCGCTGCCTGCTGCTGGGGCGACTGCTGGCCGGCGGCCGGGGTACCGGGAGTGCCGGCGCCCGCGGCGGCCGGGGTGCCCGGGGCCGCCTGCGCCGCCGCCTGCTGCTGCTGTTGCTGCTGCTGCTGTTGCTGTTGCTGTTGCTGTTGCTGCTGCTGCTGCTGCAGGAGCTGGAGCTGCTGCTGCTGCTGCTGAAGAAGCTGGAACTGCTGCTGGACAGTCATGCCGCTGACATTGAGGGCGGCCAGCTGGGACGAGGGAGACAGGGGGGTGGCCACCGGGGACAGCTGGTTGGCCGCCGCGGCCGCGGCCGCAGCCGCCGCAGCCGCCGACAGGTGGGGATACCCGGACAGGGTGAAGGGTTGCCCGGCGAGGCCGGCCAGGGGGAGATGCGCTGGAAGATGAAGAGAGAACATGGGATTAGCTACGGGAGGGGCCGACGAGCGAGGGATGTAGGGGGAGGGGGGGGGAATAAGCGAACGGATGCGTGCATGCGTGTGTGTGTGTGTGTGTGTGTGTGCATGCGCGTGTGTGTGTGTGTGTGTGTGCGTGTGTGTGTGCGTGTGTGTGTGTCTGTGCATGGGCATGGGCATGGGCATGGGCATGGGCATGGGCATGTGTGTGTGTACGTACCGCCAGCAGGGAGGGACAGGAGAGGGCTCAGAGTGGCAGCCGGATCCAGGGGAGAGGACAGATCCGGCAGCGGGGTGTCCACGGAGATGAGGGCACCGGGCTCGGCGCCGGTACCGCTGGCCCCGGCCCCGGCCCCGGCCCCGGCGTCCGGGGCATCGGTCGTGGCGGCATCACCGGCCGCGCGGGTCGGAGTCGAGGCGATGCCCGCACGACTGCCGGTGCGCGCGCGCTTCGCCGGCGAGGCGGCCCCCGCGGCGCCCTTGCCGGAGGCCCCGCCGGCGCCGGAGGACTTGATCATGGCCCCGGGGATGCCGGTCAGGCCAGCCAGGCTGCTGGTGTACGGACCCAGGGGAATGCCCGGGGGGACGATGCTCAGCCCGCCGGGCGGCGGGGTCGGGCTGCCGGCCGGGTCGGTGGAGGTGCCGGCGGCGGCGGCAGCCGCGGCGGCGGCCGCCGCCGCAGCCGCCGCCGCCTCAACGGCCGCCGTCACCGGCGAAGTGCGGCGCGAGCGCTTGCGACCCTGGATCGGCGTGGGACCGGCGGCGGCCGCCGGATGCAGGGCAGCCCCGGGGGGAATGGCCAGGCCGGCGGTCGGACCACCGGGCAGAAGACCGATGCCCGGGGTGCCGACCCCCGAGGCATTGGAAGCCATGGCCGCGGCCACGGCCGCCGGAGACCCGGACAGGCCGAGGGCATTCCACTTCTTGACCTGGCCCTCGAGCAGATCACGCCACACCTGGGGCAGGGTGCCGTTGAAGCGCCGCGGCCGGGGGGACGTCATGCCGGAGGTGGCCGACATGGCGGTCACCGCGCCGGGGTTTTCCCCGGAAGCACCGGCGGCCCGGGGAGGAGTCGGGCCGCCACCGACCACGGCCGCCACGGCCGCCGAAGTCAGGACCATCATGTCGGAGTTGGCGGTCATCTCGGCCGCCAGCCACACCAGCTCGGCATGCAGGTCGCACACGCGGTCCTTGAGGATCTTCTTCAGGTGGGCCTTGCGGATGATCTCGCGCTTGTTGTTGGTGGTGCCGGCGCCGGCGCCGGCCGGCATCGGGGACGACGCATCCGGCGACGGGCTGGAAGAAGCACCCTCGGTGAGGCTGGCCGCGGCGGCGGCAGGGTCGGCCATGGCCTCGGCCTCGGCGCGCTGGAGCTCCGCCTCGAAGCACTGGGCCAGATGCTCCTTGATGGTGGCCGGACGCATGAAGCGGCTATTGCACCGGGTGCAAAGCATCGCATGGAAGGAAGTGTGCATGATGACATGGGACTCGAAGTGCTCCTTGGACTTTTTGATGTGCTTGCAGCAGCCGAGGAACTGGATGTGCGAGGGCGGGGGCG